GCTTAATGACTGAGCCACCCAGGCGCCCCAGTTGGATTTTTTTTCTGTTTAGTTTCTGGTGTGAAGCCTGTTGATATTTGTCATTTGTCTACTTCCTAAAACAGTAACATTAAAGGTATAATTGTCTTAGTGAACTAATTTGCTGGTTGTTTTTGATGAAGATATTAATAATGGTAGTATTATAATGTCATTGAGCACCTATAGTCCGCCAGACCCATATCAGTTGTGTGTATGTGTGTGCATGTGTTTGCGCTTTTCCTTTGAAGTGACCAGTGCTGAACCTCTGCTTGCATATTATCAGTGAGTGAAGAACCAGATCCGTGCCTAAGTGAGGTAGGAAGAACATGATTTACCTTAATAGCTGCAACATATTGACAGAGAAATTTGAATAGCACTAATATATTCTAGGGTAATGGCCAGACGTGAAATACTTTAACCTCAAATATAATTTATTCTCACAGTTGAAGCTTCAGAGCACAATGAAAAAGAGCCTTCATGCCAGATTCCAACCCCCTTTCTATGAATTAGTGGTTGTATGATTTTTGGCAAGTTATATAAATTCCATAAATTTATTTTCCCAATCAGTTAAACAAGATAAGAGCATCTGCTGCCCAATATTTTTGTGAAAACAGGTAGTATAACATTAAAAGCTTTTGGTACATTTTCTGAAATGTACTCAGTACTTAGTTTTCTATTTTTTGTTACTACTAATATCTTAATATCTAGAACAAGATTCTAATGTCCATCAAAATGTTTATTCTCTTTTACATAATGTTTCATCCAACAAGGTATGGCATCATCTAAGTTCTATTTTTTTAAATTTTGTAATAGTTGTAGATTTTCAAAAAAGTTGCAAAGACAGTACAGAGAGTTCATGTAGATCGCTTACCCAGTTCCCTCTCTTGTTCACAACTCACATTATTATGGTCCATTTGTTACAAGGAAGAAACATTTAGATATCATGACACCTTAATCTCTTATGATCTACGAGAAATTTTCAGACTTGTTTTCGATGACCTGGACAATTCTGAGCAGTATGGGTTAGAATGTTCTTCATCTGGGTTTGTCTGATTTTTTTTTTTTTTTATGGGTAGACTGAGGTTAAGGGTTTTGGGGACAAGACCATAGAGAGTGCCATTCTCATAAAGTGATATCAAGGGTGCATACCATCAACATGATTTGTCACTGTTGATGTTAACCTTGATCACCTGGCTGAGATGGTATTATCAAGTTTCTCCATTGTAAAGTTATTCTTTCTTCCCTTTTCCATACAGTACTCTTTAGAAGCAAATCACTAAGTGCAACCCATTCTGAAAGGGGAAGAAGAAAGTTAAGCTTTGCCTCCTTGAGGGTGTGTATCTACATAAATTTGGAAATTCTACCTAAGGGGGATTTTTGTCTCTTCTCTCCCATTTACCTATTTATTCAAATACACACACATACACTCTGTATATACATACACTGTATATTAATATATATATATCTACACCCTATATATGTGTATGGGTACATAAGTATTGATCTAAACTCTAATAATGACCTGGCATGCTGTAAAGTTAAGTTAAAGAGCTGATACCATCTTTGCTATTAAGACCTTTTTAAAGTGGGCGCCTGGGCGGCTCAGTTGGTTAGGCGACTGCCTTTGGCTCAGGTCATGATCTCAGGGCCTGGGATCGAGTCCCACATCGGGCTCCCTGCTCAGCAGGGAGTCTGCTTCTCCTTCTGACCCTCTCTCCTCTCCTGCTCTCTCTCTCACTCTCTCAAATAAATAAATAAAAAATTAAAAAAAAAAAGACCTTATTAGATCAGTGATATTCTCTGTGAAATGGGGTAAAACTACTGAGGCAGGACAGGATGGACCAACAAAAACAAGTTCAGATATTAGGAAATATTGATTCAAGGCTCTGACTCTCTGCTTACTAGCCAGATAGCCTTGGTTTAATCAGTTTCCTCCTTGAAATTGATTTTTCTCATCTGTGAATGGGGCTGTAAATACTCGGTCCTCTGTTGTAAAGTATAACATAAATATATATGTATATACTTTGACCCCTAAACACTTCAAAGTAAATATAAAATTATATTTATTACTAGTAATATCAATCACATCCATCTCCAATGTTTAAAGTGATGGGAAAAAGGGAAGTGACATAAACAAGCATTTTAAAAAGTTTTTGTTTTAACTGTGGGTGATCCTATCAGAATTTTCTCTGTGCTGGCATCTTTTTGCTATCCTGTTGTTTTCAAAGTTATTTTCAATTTGAAGTGTGCTGAATAACAACTCTCAGTGGTAGTCACTAGCCATATGTGGATATTAAAATTTTAATTAATTAGAAATAATTTAAAATTCAGTTACTGATCTAATTATTAAACACATTTCAAGTACTCAAGAGCCACATGTGGCTGGTGGCTACAGTGTTCTACAGCGTAAATATGGAACATTTCCATCATCCCAGAAAGTTTTGTTGGATGGCGTTGCCATAGAGGCTCACAGCTTCTTTCCTCTTGGTCCCGACATCCTTCTTCTAACTTCCTATTATACATTGGATTCTTTGTGCCACTATCCTCTGCTATCTTCTTCAAAAAGTTTACAGGGCCCCTTGGAAGCAAGTTCTTAGATGTATCCCTTTGTTCAAGGTCAGACCCCATCAAACAGCAGCAGCAAATACAATACTTACTGTCAGCAGTCCCATGAATTATTAATATATTTTCTTCTTTTAAGCCATGAATATTATGTAGCACATTGGATGCCTATAAAGGAAAGCACAAATATCTATGTATATATAGATCTACCTCTATTTGCAATTTGACTGAATTTTTAGAACAAATATACTCTTCTTTCTTCATTATTTTAAATTTGTTACCTGGTAAGTGCTTTCTTCCCGAGATGGCATACCGAGGTATCTTTCAGAGAAGGCTGAGGCTGTGACCCAAGAAAACAGAAATCTAAGAATAAACTAGAAACCATTTGACTAGCGTATTTCATTATTTAATTTCTACATTTCACATTTAATTGTCATGCTCCAGTAAAACTGATTGAATCAGGAAGGTGATAAACAGCTGAAAATCTATTAACACATGATAAATGAGCTCACTTGATCTCTTCTGCATTGGGATTTTCTTTTTTTACAAATCAATACATTATATTAAGTCAATTTGTAGGAAGTACTCACCGTACAACTTCAAGTCTGTGATGGGTGCAATCACTGATCCACATTTAAAAAGCTTTTCATCTGATTTTAATATCATTGATGCAATATAGCCACCATACCCCTGGCAAAATTAAAAAATATATATATGTATATATATAGAGAGCGAGAGAGAGAGAGTGTTTGTATCAATTATCTTTGGAGATATTTTTAGCTTTTGATCACTGGTAATATACATAATAGACTGTCTTACAATGTCCCAGACCTGAGAAAAGAATACACTAAGATCACTTTGTATAGATGAAAATTTTGAAAAGAATTTAAGTTTTTATATAACAAGCTATTTTAATAACTTTAGGTAAAATATAAAATCAATTATATATCAACATTGTCCAATGTTTGCTCTTTGATTTCATGTGGTATATCTGGGAATAACTCCAAATAATTAAAAGCTGGGGAAATATAGCACTTACTAAATCATAAATCATTTTCAGCAAATCACATATATACATTTAGTGAAATATTTAATAATGACAGTTATGTAGAATTAGGAAAGGAGAATTAAATATTTAAAATCTGTTATCGCAAATATAGATTCTGCTTTCAGTTCCACACACCTAAATATTTGAAGGAAGTGAGGTTGATAAATAATGTTGCTAGTTACATGAGTTGGATTATTGTTTAAATTTAATTTTAAATATCTAAATTTATCTTGCAATGCTTTTGAACTAATTTAATTATAAATTCTTTTTTTTTTTTTAAAGATTTATTTATTTATTTGAGAGAACGAAAATGAGAGAGAGAGAGAGCACATGAGAGGGAAGAGGGTCAGAGGGAGAAGCAGGCTCCTTGCTGAGCAGGGAGCCCGATGCGGGACTCGATCCCGGGACTCCAGGATCATGACCTGAGCCGAAGGCAGTCGCTTAACCAACTGAGCCACCCAGGCGCCCTTTAATTATAAATTCTTAAAAAAACAAATTAAGATGTCCAGTTTTCTTTTGTAGCCCATGATTTGACCAGGAGAATTCCAGAGGAGATTTTAACAATTTAGTAGATTTAGAAGGGAATGACCTACTGAGTTACATATTCATTTTAGAAATTAATATTTAGCCATGCTCTGGGCAATGTTCATCTTGCTGGACATCAGAGTACCCTGGGAGATATTTAAAAAAAAAAAAAAAAAGAAGACGACCCAGGACTTAGCCTCAGCAATTCTCATGCAATTGGTTCATGATGAGGTCTACTTTTGAAAGATTACCAGATGATATTAGTGCGGTCCAATGCAATAGGAATCTGTTATTCTCACTAAATTCTTGAGATGAGAAATACAAAATTTCATTTATGCTTATTTGGAATATTATTTTAAAAAGTGGGATGATTGACATCAAAGTCCCAATTGCAAAGATTACTTAAGTGTCTGAAAGAACCTATGTGAAGAGTAGCAGAATATGCCACTTTGGCCTATTGATTATTTTGAGCTGCAGACACTTGGAAAAGAGCAAATGCAGGGAAAGGCTTTCTCTGAACTCCACTTATCTGCCTAAAGATGGATCTTCCAAAAGGGACTCAGTTGTCATAGATCCCCTCCCTGGGAATTTCATCAACCTAGAAGATTGATTCTTGTCACTAGAAGTCCACAGCACACCTAGAGAGACTGTCATGAACTATCACCCTTCCGTCTATTCTTCTAAGGGCCCATTCCTCTTTCCTAACAATCATTCACTCTCCTAAAAGGCCTACATCCCACTCTCCTTTTCCTATTAAAGTGCTATTTAAGCCTGAATTCTAGGCCCACCTCAGAGAGTTACTCACTTTTCCCTGGGTATGTCTCATGTATGTATGTCAATAAACTTCTGTTTGTTTTTCTTTTGTGAATCTTTCTTTCATTACAGGGGTCTCAGATAAGAGCTCAGAAGGATAGAACGAAAATTATTTTTCTTCCTTTGCATGTTAATTTAGTACTGAAACATTTAGCTAGTACCCAGAAGCTTGAGCAAATCTTCTTCACCAATTGGTAAATGAGGGAAATAAAATTATCCTTTACAGAGATAAACCACCACAGAGTGTCTTTACTCATTCTTTTTGAAAGATACAAAAATATCCTTAGGTCAGCAAAGTTCAGAAGCATTAGCCTTAAAAGTGTTAAGGCATCTAAAGAAAGAAGTGGGGGGGAAGAAAAATAATTTCCCTCTCTCCTTCTGAGTTCTTGGCCGAGATGCCTTGTAATAAAAGAGTATCAAGAAAAAAAAAGCTTATTAACATGAATACCTCACATACACATGGGAGATACCCAGTGAAACTGAATAATTCCTTGAGGTGGCCCAAGGCAACACCTCAAATACCATCTTTAGCCAAAGACAAAAGAAAGATGTTGGAGGGAGCTCAGTTATGGGAGGCTACCAGGAAAAGAACTATAATCAAGGTTAAGCTTTGTTAGATTTAAATCCAATTTGGAGTCAGTGCCTTCTCCATTAATAAAAGTTTTGTATGATTTAGAGTCAACCTTCTCATCCTGGTACAGGGAGAGAGACACAAATGGAGATTTCTTTTATAAATGTAAACGTCTTTTACAAAAGACTAATTTCTATTCTGTTTCCAAAGCTTCTCCTGTGTCTGCTGTTTCTTAAAATAATCAGCTAAAAATAATCCTTATGCCAAAGAGGCATATTCTGCTTCCCTTCAGAAGTATGCAGGGGTGGGATGAGTTCTGCAAAGTAAGTAAATAGCTATTACAGAACAAAAGTGTAGAGAGCCCCTAAATGTTCTGTCCTTAAAGGGAGCTCTTCCAGTGTATTTTTCCAAGTTCTTGGACATGGAGGTAAGACCAAGGTGTTGTAGCCAAGAGGTTTCAAGTATTTCCCATGGGGCACCACTGTTCCCACAATGAAAAATGCACATCTCAGTTGGTAACTTTTCTGGTTCTAATTAGAGCAGACTTTCAACTGATTATGATTTTGGTTGTTCATATAACCTGACAACTTTGAGAGAACAGCTGAATATTCCAGTCCATAGAACAACTGTACATCACAATTTAATAATAGAAATTAATAAATTGGTATTATGTTTTTTATCTCTGTTTCACATAAATCTCAGTCTGATTATCTCCAGGAACTAAGTAGAATGGTGTCTTCCAAAGGAGGCTCAGATTCTAGAACAGTGCTTGAAAGTTCATTCCAATTACTTGGAGATCTTTTTAAAATGCGTGTTATGCTAATTCAGTAGATCTGTGGTGGGACCCAGGATTTTGCATTTTTAACAAACTCCCAGGGAATGCCTAGGCTGTTGTTCCACATTTTGAATAATAAGTTCTTACGGTATAATAATATTAACAAATATACCTACCCAAACATCTCCGTAGCTTCAATCAGCATACCCTAGACCAGTGGAGATTTAAACATATGTATCAATGCTCTCTGAAACAATTTAGTCTGCGGAGAATGGGCTATGGAGCTTTCCATGTGATTTTAAAGTGAAACTAGGGTTGTAAATCTTTGCTGCTGCATAAAGAGTTGCATTTTACTCTTTTTTTATATGAAAATTTGAGTTTAATGAAGCTAAATACTCTTTAAGATTTAATGATAGTGAAAGCTGTTGAATAAAATTCTCTCTATAGCATTCAAAAACCTAATCCAAAATGCTGCCTTAATTTGATTTATTTCAGCAAAATAACTTCTATTTTTAAATGAAAATCAACATTGGGAGGCATTAGAATAAATTAAATTTTAATTGCCCACCTTCCTCTGTACCATTTTATATTTACTCACTGAATGCAAGAGTAGATCATTAAAGAGTTCTCGGAAAATATATCCCGGACAAGGGTAGGAATCAGATGTAAGTTCTAGGTAGACAGAAGATGGTGATTTTAATTTTTAAAACATCTCCTGTCTAAGAGGAAGATGCCAGAAACTGTGGGTCATCATATTGACTTAGTCAATTGGATGGTGTTTTTTATTTGATACAGATCAAAAATAGTTAATGGTATAGGCTGTTCTGTTCAATTATGCTGTCATTTTATTGGTTTCTCAGTAATCACATTTTTCCATTCACTGTTACATCCTTTCCATTTGCATAGCATTTTAGCATTACTTACACAATTTTAACAGATTGATCTTTTAAAAATTTTTATTCATTGTACTTAAATGTTTCCTGAGAATATTTTATCTTAAAAAAGTTATATTCTACCCATGATAGAAGAAACTGAATCCAATAGATAGATGGACATAGAGGAGCCAGGGGGTGGGGTCTTTAATAACCATTTTACTGAAAACTTATATTTTCATGCATCATGTGTTTTCAGATATTCATTAAGTGACTTTTTTGAGTACTCGAGAGTTGATGAATACAGTCGAAAAGAAATACTGACAGAACTGAGAAAAAGGTTTTTCCTAGCCTTAGACTTAAGATTCTTTGTGAACCACATCACTTATGGCACATAATGTTTTGAAATAAAAATACACTACTTATGAGTAACACAATTTATTGCATTGTATTATTTTACATTAAATCTTTTTAATTTGTTTAATGTTATCACATACATTTTATCACAATTCTTAGAAACCCATCTTATATCCTTCATATTATATATATTAAAAGCTTCAAACTTTAAAAGTGACTGCCACTAACAAGCCCTATCTCAATTGAGAATATATAAAACTATAAGTAATAATTACCTCCCTGTCAAGTTTTTTTTTTAATATTTATTAGAGGTCAAGCAGGATGGAGGGGTGGAGGGAGAGGGAGAAGCAGACTCCCTGCTGAGCAGGGAGCCTGATACAGGACTGGATCCCAGGACCCTGAGATTATGACCTGAGCCAAAGGCAGACACTTAACCAACCGAGCCACCCAGGTACCCCCTAAGTCAGGTTTTAACAAGCTTCCATATTAATGCATATGTTTGTACTTTTTTTTTTTTTAACCTTCCTCAGATATCCATGTTTCTTGCCTTCTCAAATTCCCTTTTCCTAGGTCAAACGTGATTTCTTAGTCAAATCTTTCCTGTCTTACAAATGGAACTTGCTATATCTTCCTTAATCTTGGGCCCCGATTTTCCTCTGTGCTTAATTTTCCTTAATTGTTCTATCACTGACATTTTATATACTTTACTGATTTTTTAAATTTGTTTCTTTCCTCACTAAACTAAAAATTCAAAAAATGTGTGTGTGTTTGTGTATGTACGTATGTGTATGATTGATATGTCCAGCACTTTGAAAAGTAGTAGGCATGTAGTAGACATTTGATAAATGTTTGTGGAATTAATTTTATTCCCCATTGATGTAGCCTGGTAATCATAGCAATATCAGTTCTACATACGATGTTTATAGGTTTTGAATTTCACCACCTACTCTCAATTCATATAATTAGGTTTTTTTTTTTTAATAGAAGTCAGAAAATTTTCTAGTTTTCTTAGCTTTAACACTTAGATATAATTAATTGAGAGAATGAACATTAGAATTATTATATATTATGTGAGGTTAGGTTAGGTTCTGGGGATAACGATATGAAGTTTTTCAAAAAAAAGTACTACCTATCAGTACTAGTGGGAAGTACCTAAGGGAGTAATGCAAAGGGATTTCATAACTCAAATGAAAGGAAGGCTGCTGAAAATTAATAACCTAGACATTCAAGTCAATAATTTAAGAACAAAATGGATTTAAAAAGTGGAAGAAAAAAAATAAGGATAGTAAGGGTAGAAATTGGTGAAATAGAAAAGACAAATTGAGAACAACTAAGCCAAAATATGGTTCATTAAAAGAGTTAAGGATGGGATGGAAGAGAGACAAGCAGGGGGAATAAGAGCAATTAAGAGGGAGTGCTCTAGCAAAGGCAGAGGGCACTCATAAACCAAATGAGGAGTCAAATGGGGCATTACCCCCACTAGTGAAATGATTAAACATATAATAGAGTATATACTATGCTTCGACAACAATCTTTAAAAATATATGAAATGGAAAAAATTCTTTTAAAAGTACTAAAACTGATTCCAGAAGAAATGGAAAAATCCTAATATTCTTGTATTGATTAAATAAATTTAAACATTAAATATTTCCAACAAAGAAAACAAAGCCTCATATAGCTTTGTAATCTAATTCCAAAAGCGCAAGATCATTACTCCCCAGCCAATTTTGAGAGTTTAAGATAACTTAATTTGATACTGAAATGAAATAAGTACATTCCAAGAAAAAAAATATAAGAACTTAAAGTCTTAAAGCTAACAGCGTTCCTTTATATGATCAGAAAGCTACCTTCTAAATTATAATTCAGTCACAGATACTCCTATTTTTTAATTGAAATGGGATATTTTTTCCATGTAAAATCTAATTGTTTCATTTGTTTATATCCCATGTCTTTTGTATATTTAGATTGCCAGAGTCAGTTACCTGAGGCTCATCAGTTCCCTAATAAAGTGATAAGTATGGGATTTTGAACTTCTAAATCTGAGGCCTTGGACTTTATTTTTTCCTGTTTGTAGACTAAAATCTAACTTTTTGTTAATATGAAGGACTCCCTGAGGTCTTTGCCCAGATGTACTCTCAGTGTTGTCACCTCTCCTTCCTTTATGTGAGTCTTAATTATAGTCAGTCACTTTATGTTCCTCAACTATGTTCTCCCTGCTCACACTGGGCATTATATGAAAGCCTTCTCCTTGTCCTCTGCTTGCTGAATGACTTTTACCATCCAGTAAAAGTTCCACTTTCTCTGTGAGGCATTTCACAACCTTCTGAATCTAAATTTCCATAGCAGTGAACGTTTGTATAGCTCATTTGATCTTTTAGACTAATTTATATGTGTAGTGAGTAGAGCCTTGAAATAGATAAGCCCTAAGTCCTTCATAATTATTACATGTATCAGGACCATTGAAGAATAAAATGTTCTCCACTATATGCCCTTTTTTATGTGTATGTGGTAAGAAACACATAATATTTACCAAAGTAACCACTTTTAAGTGCACAGTTCAATAGTGTCAAGTGTTTTCACATTATTGTGAAACAGATCCCTAGAACTTTTTCATCTTGTGAATCTGAAATTCTATTACCTATTAAGCAATCAACTTTCCTTTTCCCCACCCCCTAACAACCACCATTCCACTCTCTGTCTTCATGTATTTCACTACTATAGATAAGTTATGTAAGTGGGATCACACAGAATTTGTTCCTCTGTGACTGGTTCATTTCACCAAGCACAGTGTCCTCAAGGTTCATCCATGCTGTAGCATATGATAAGACTTTGCTTTATGCACTTGTTAATTTGTCTAGAGTTTCCATTTCTTTGGAATGATCGCTTTCTTAGACATTTCCATTTTTTCACTAATATCTTTATTGTTAGCGATGGGCTTTCATTTATTTGTTTGTACTTATGTCAGAGGAGCATTGTCCCTATTGATCTCTTGAGTATTACTGAGAACAAGAATAAAATAAAGCAAAGACATGATGCACTGCAGGTATCTGAAGTCAGGGAAGAATATGTGCTGATTTACATGTTACTCGTTTGTTAAACAGCTTTTCTTATACCCACTTGTCAGTGAACACCAGTAAAATTTATACTCCAGTAAAATGATCAGATATTCCTGTCATGTATCTCTGGGTTCATTTATGGATAGTAAAACATATTTTGTGTTTAAATCCATGAACAACAATAATTTGCTTTGTCTCTAAAATTAAAATAGTACCAGATCTCCTTCCTTTCATCTTAGTATCTGTATGGTGTCTAGCCTCGTGATACAGATAAACTAGGTGACTAGTAAGTATCTATATGGAGTCTGTTTCCCTACTGTGAAAATGATGTTGAAACTGACATAAAAATTACGAAAGTGAGAAATAAATATCATGCAGAAAACACTAAAGACAATTATGCATATTGCTTATCTTTTAGTTTCTAAGCCCTGTCCGTCTTCCCCAAGGCTGTGGTACTTGATCCTTCTATAGCGAACACCCTGCTTCAAGAGATTTATAGAACTGGCTCCCTTTTGTTATTTAGGTATCAGCCTAAATACCATTTAATCCAAGGGACCTTAGTTGACCACTTAATTCTAACAACATTGGCCCTTCCTAGAGTTAACTTTTGTCTACTTAATTTTTGTTTTCCTTATAAGACTTATTGCTATATGAAGCTATGTTTTTAATGTATGTGTTTATCTATTTCTCCTTTCTAGAAGATAAGCTTTATGAAAACAGATTTTTTTGTTGTTGTTCAGTTGTTGTTCTACTTCTAATACCAGCACCAATTAGATAATAAATAGTTGCTGGATTAATAAATGACAGAATGTGTATAGTATTAATTATGATATTACATTTTAAAGAATAGTACAGAGATAGTAAAGTGAAGAAATTATATGTACAGATACAAACACATATAATATACACATATGTATAAATATGTACTTTATATACATATAAAAATACATATACACAACATTTCTATTTACCTTTCCAAAAATGCTTAATCTTTTGGAGTCAATGTATGGCTGTTTCAGTAAAAATCTGCAATGAGAAAAAAAATACAGTTATATTTTCTTGAGTCAAATGCACATGGGAATTCATTCTGGGCATCCACACACATGCACACATACACACAAAACCCAGATCTCAAAATAGGAATACTTTAGTAGCTGGAGCTCTATTCATGTTGAAGGATCATAGATTCTAAAATCTTGCTACTCAAAGTGATGGTCCAGTTGTTGATACAAATGCAGAATTTTGGGCCCCATTCCAGACCTACTGATCTACATTTTGATTCTATCCTAGCCAATTTCTGTGTACTGTTTTAAAGAACCTACTAGATTTCTTGGTCACTCATGCCTGTGTGGGAATGGTATCTGTGAAAGTTTAGGAATTGTAGTTAACTGGGAAGTAATAGACATTGTAGATTATTGTAAATAAATAATAGAGTGGTTAAATTAAGGTTTCTCCCATTTTTTTTTTTTTAAGATAGGGAGTGGGGAGGGGCAGAAGGAGAGGGGGAGAGAGAATCTTAAGCAGGCTCCACGCCCAGCACAGAGGCTAGTGCTGGGCTCAATCTCACAACCCTGAGATCATGACCTAAGCTAGAATCCAGAGGTGGACGCTTAACCAACTGAAACACCCAGGCGCTGTAAGGTCTCTCCCATTTTCATAAATCCAAAGTAAATTTTAATTCCAGAGGGGAAGTAAGATAATTGTTTTATTTGATGCTAAGAGTGAAAAGTACTTGAAAAAATGCAATAGTCTATGTGACTAACTTAGAAAAAAGTATAAACCTCTGAATCAGTATTAGTAGTATTAATGTATCATATACTTAGCTTCTGTCATTATAAGAAAAACAGTAGGAAAATGTGCACCCACTTACTTCACAGCTGCTATTTGGTCCTTCACTTCCACTGAACCTAGCCTTCGATGAATCTCCTGCAAAATTTTCAGGCCCTGGAATCCACTTCCTCTGCCATCAAATCGTGCTGTGATGACATTATCTGTGTCAACAAGTACTGAATCCCAGTCAATATGGAACTTATCTGTAACCAGCTGGCCTCCTGGTTCTTCATCCCTGTAAATACCAACACATTGGACCAAAACAAGAACAATTGGCACTGTGGTAGAAATTTTAGCTTTCACACTTACTATTTAAAAATTTTGGAAAAGACCCATGTGGGCTATTAAAATTTCTGTTAATTCTTGAAAGTAAACCTGAAAGTATAATGCCATTTTCCTTTGTAAAATTTCAAATGAAAAGTTCTCTAATGAACTGAAAATATGAAACAAGATTTAAAACTGTTCTAAGAGATTATTTTAACTCATTTTTCAAATGAGAGAAATGAAGGAAAATACATTCACATTCCATTGTCATTTCTAAAGAATAATGATCAAGTTGACATAAAGGTCCTACTTTATTGACTTTCTTCCAATGTGTTTTAGAAATGTCCTGCAGATGGTATACACAGGCCAAAGGATCTGATAGAGATCAGAACTATTTATGGAGACTTAATAATAGTTCAATAAGCATTATAAGGACAACAGACCCAAAATGAAGTCACTTTTACTAAATTTCACCAAAACTTAATACCTAACTTAAATGCAATTTCATCCTCTCCCAGGATTGGAATTTTAAACCAATCACATTGGAATTTCATGATCTACGCTAGTGAGGTAATCTACATGTTAAGACCCTTCCCATAGCCCCCATCTTCCCCTTAAGGGAAGGTGACCTGGAATGAAACAGTCTTACTTTCTTTTGCTAAAACCCTTCTGTCCTACCCCATTCCTGCCTATAAAATCCTTCTACTTTGTACAGGTCTATTTGCTAGATGTGATGCTGCCCAAATCATAAATCATTGAGTAAAGTCAATTAGATCTTTAAATTATTCAATTGAATTTTGTTTCTTAACACAAGAAATGGACAATCCTAAAGAATTTCAGACTCAAAAAGAAATATTGCATTAACATTCCCTGTATTTTTTTTTCTGGTGGAATTCTCACTAAAGAGAATTTAAGGATACATTGAGAAAAAATTATTTTGCATCACTAAAGTTAACAACAAGAAAAGGAAAGACATGTTTGAAAAATTTGAATACTAGAAGTAAAGAAAGTCATGCAGGTTATAAAGCATGAACATTGTCTCTGGAGGGATAAGGTGGTAAAATTTTAAAAAGTCAGATTACAATGGTACAGTGGTATCTTATTTTCTAGAATATAGAAGAGGTAAAAAAGCAGCCTCTCATAAAATCACAGATTATCTAGATCCAAACCAGATATAGTTCAAACATGCATTTGTCCATGTGATAGATTTAAAGAGCATCAAACATGCAATTTTCTGAGAACATCTCCAATTTTATTTGAGCTGCATACCAGAAATTTTCACCCTATTCACTCTCCTGTCAAAACACCAAACTTTCTTGGCTGCATTATGCTAATGTGTTGCTTAGAAGCACCAGTACATAACAATACACAAACTAATCCTCATCAACAAGCTTTAAGGTTATCAGATTTGCTAAAGAAAATAACTTCTGGGCAGCAAATGGAACTGAACTGGTACAGGGGCTGTGTGAAACCAGTGAGTTTAGGTAAAGGAGGAGGTAGGGAATGGGACAAAATAATGGACAACTAAAATTTACTAGATGATGTTATCAGTTAAATTTTGTCAAAATCCATATGTTGAATCTCTAATAACGCCTACTGCCTTAGAATGTGACTGTATTTGGAGATAATGCCATTCCAGTGGTGAGTCCGTTAAAATCAGGACTTTAGGGTGGGCCCTTATCCATCTGATTGGTGTCCTTAAAAGAGAAAATTAGGACACAACAGAGACCTGAGGTACATGAATCATGCAGAAGAAAGACCCTGTGAAGAGGCAGCAAGAGGGAAACCAGCTGTAAGCCAAGGAGAGAGGTTTCAGAATAGGTAAAACCTGCTGACACCTTAATCTTAGACTTCTATTCTCCGCAACTGTGAGAAAATAACATTTCTATTATTAGTATGCCCAGCCCTGGTAAACTACTACAGATGTCTTTTGTAGTTTAAATACTTAAGATCTATTATTTTATTTACTATACACTACCAAAATTTATTTCACCTTTCTGGGGAGGAAGTTGTCTTTTGCATGGCCTATTACATGTATTATTATTCTTATCCTATAAATAAACTGTGCCATGAAAGTGGGTTAATCATGATCTCCCTCCATCCCCCTCTAAATCACACAATTAATGATGATCCCATGACCCAAATCTAAATCTGTTTTGTCCTTCCATGGTGTCTGCAATCTTTAACTCTTCTTGTAATTTTATTTTTAATTTTAATTTTTAGTTTTTGCAACATTACCTCTTTATCAGATTATTGGGAATTGTTACTACAAATATCCACATGCTCATACCTAGAATTCTGATTGCCTAGTTCAGAATGAAGTGTGGAGTTGCTATTTTTTCCAGATTCCGGGGTGATATTGATATAACTTGTCTATCATTTGAGAAATAGCATGAATCATTATGCCTAGCATATTATGCCGGAACACAGAAAATGCTGTTGAACTAGATCTTTTCAGGGAAAGTAGACTCATGTGAGGTTTTAAATGGAAGGACCTTAAAAAGCCTTTAGTTTATATGAAGATACTATATTTTGAAGCTTGGGGATTTATTGCAAATACTAGAAAGCAAACCATGATTCACAGAGAATAAGGTACAATGATTAACTTCAGTTTTTAAGCTGAGTAAAAATATGACCATATGAGTCCCAACTTTACTCTGAATATAATAGGCAAGAAACTAAAACTCCCAAGATTCAGTTTCCTTATCTTTAATGATGGCAAGATACTGTCGTTTTCCTCAGTTTTGTATGCATTAAATGACATAATGTATTTGAAAATACTCTCTGAAATATAGTAAGCAATTTAAGACAATTATTAAATTCATGAAACCATAGAAACTTAGTACTATTTTGTTTGCAGCCAGTGTTGCTTGTTTTGAGCATATTTCCTTGCAGTTAGAATTGGAGAACTGTATAAAAGCTTTGGGCCAATTGTGCAGAAGTTAAACTGGGCAATGTCTATGGATAAAGGTATTGTGCCATGTCATATGAGATATTATGTCAGATGGACCAATGATACCTAAAGACTTACAAGAAAATATAAAAGTGTAATCCACAGATCCTTGGGAGTGATGATCAGAGTGCTGTCCTTTATTAAAGCAGAATTTTCCAACTTTACACCCTGGCAGCAGCTCTAAGGTAACATTGTAAAATGTTTTGTTGACATGGAAGATAATAATTTTCCAATTTACTTATGAACTATTGCAGTGTTCACAGCTACTTAATGAGTTCAAAACTAAATTAAGTGTAGACAAAATGTTAAGTCACAGACATTTTATGGGAGGCAAATAAATTATTTTTTAAATACAGTTTAAAATAACGCACATTTTTCAAACTTAATGATTAATAAATGGTTGTAGATTTTTATAAACAAAAACCTTCAATCCCTTACTCAGGCTTGAAATACCCAGAGAAAAATAACAATTCCACTCCTTTGGTATTTTCTCTAAATGGCCATTTTTAACTTTGAACCTTATCTTCACAAGTTTTCAATGTTAGAACATGTAATGATATCAATACATTACCAGTCAATGACTAACACATTTCTCCATCTAGGTGGGTTTGTTCTTTCTTTTTTGGTGCATGGTACAGGCATATCTATTTCAAGGTGAGTTATGAAAGAACATGAATTGGTTATGCAGAATTGGCGAGCTTCAATTTATTTGGTTCTTTGTCTTTCTCTTAGTGTCATCTTCATCTTTTTTTTAAGCTCTGTTTATTATTATTTTTTTTTTTAAATTTTAATACCAGTATAGTTAACATACAGTGTTATATTAGTCTCAGGTGTACAATTATCTTCATCTTTTTTACTATGCTATTTTGTTTTACTCTCTCTGTTTCAGATATCTCTGGGGGCCCACAGAAAGGAGGGTGTTTCAAGGTTGAGGGTAGGGACATACAATTTTGTTGAGGGTTGCAGTAAAAGAACAGTCCCACCTGTTCTTAGCAGTGGAGAGATTGCAGCAACATGAAATGTGTATTTCCTAACACAGGCAGCAAAATCAAATTAAGACTAAACTTTTCTTAGAAGTTAAAGTCTTGGAACGTTTATTTCAATACCTTCAGCACTAAGCTTGTCTGTATGGATGAAGTGTTCAGGGTATGAGCATATAAAAAATATAGAAAGAAAGATGAGTAAACACAATATCCAATAGACTTTTAAAATGACAAAACAATCTTTATGACTTAACACCACGTATACCAAAACTGAATTCAAGTGAAGACCAACCAAATTGTTCAGACTACATGTTTGGTCAGGTTCACAAATTGCTATTTAGATTCATGTAAAGAGAGCTGAAGATCTACATTTTGGTCCTGACTTTGTTAGGATATGCTGAATTACCCTGAGTAATTATATGCAGCTTTTATTTTTATTTACTGTTTTTTTGTTGTTGTTATAAAGCAGTATGTTGTAAATAGTTAAGATCACATCCAGTACATTTTAAGAATTTTCCTAACCAGTAGAACTTGGTTACAATAGATGGAAGGAAAGTATTTTTGAATGAGTATACTTTCCTTGACTAGTCTATTGCATGGCAGAATTTCTTTTCCTACATGGTAGAATTTGAAACTGCTACACTAACAGCTGCTTATCTGTCCACTGGGGTGTGGAAGGAGGTGCCACAATAGAAGGTGAGTTTGACATAGGACATTTGCCTTAAACAATATTTGTCTTGCCTTAATCTGAAATTTACTTAATAGAAATTTATAGTTAGTGATGGTTTAGTTGTAACATATGGAGTTTGACCTTTTTCAAGCAATACATGCATAGTGATACATACTTCGGCTAAGGGCTTCTTGGCTAATTCCTTCTATTTCTCATTTTAAGATCTTTAGATTTCTTCTCATGGATGGATTGTTCTACACGGGGAATAACAAAATGACTCTTCTCATATATTTATTTATTGCAACATGTGAGAAATAACATTATTTTTTTCCTATCAGAGAACTGTTTCTTGTCCATATCCCCGT